AGGGAGCAACAGGGACTCTCATTCATTGCTGGTGGGAAGAAAAAATGGTACAGCCACTTTGGAAGAAATTCTGGCACTCTTTACAAAGCTAAGCATAGGCTTACCCTATAAGCAAGCCAACAATTGCATTCCTAGGTATTTACCCAAATAAGTTGAAAATGTATGTCTACATAAAAACATGCACTCAACTGTTTAAAGAAATTTTATTCATAATTCCCCCAAACTGGAAGCAACTACTGTGGCTTTCAATAGGTGAATGGATAAACAAACTATAGTACATTCATACTATGGAGTATTATTATTCAACAATAACAAGACATCTGCTCTCAAGCTATGAAAAGACACTGAGGAAGCTTAAATGTATTTGCTAAGTGAAAGAAGATAGTCTGATAAAATGACATACTATATGATTGCAAGAAGCTCTGGTAGCATAGTGCCTAAGGCACTTGACTGCTAACCAGAAGGCTGGAGGTTCAAACCCATCAGCCACTCCTCGGAAGGAAGGTTGGGCAATCTACTTCTGGAGTGATACTGCCTCGGCAACCCAAGGAGGGGCTGCTATGAGTCAGGTCTGACTCAACGGAACATAACAACAACAACATGTGATTGCAACTATATGGTGTTCTGGAAAAGATAAAACAATAGAGACAGTAAAAAGATCAGTTGTTTCCAGGGAGTCCAGGGGAGAGCATTTTTAGGACAGTGAAACTGCTCTGTCTGATATAGTGATGATGGACACATGACATTATACATTTGTCAAAACCTATAGGAGTATACAACACAAACTGTAGACCTGAATGTATACTATGCCCTTTAGTTAATAATGATATATCAATGTTGGTTCATCAACTGTAACAAATGTATCACATGAATCCAAACCATAAAAACCAAACCCACTGCCATCGAGTTGATTCCGACTCAGTGATCCTATAAGACAGAGTAGAATTGTCCCATAAGGTTTCCAAGGTTATAAATCTTTATAAGTGCAGACTGCCTCATCTTTCTCCCACAGAGCAGCTGGCAGGTCCCAACCACTGACCTTTTGGTTAGCAGACAAATGCTTTAACCACTGTGCCACCAGAGTTTCTTACTTGAGTACATGTGTGCAGGGAAGGAGGGGGAGCATATGGCAACTCTACTTTCTGTATAGTTTTTCTGTAAACCTAACACTGCTCTAAAATATAAAATGTATTTGGAAACTGGGGTGGCGATGGGGGGAAGAAGAGAGAGACAGACCCAAATTTATTATAAACACTTGAAACTGGCTTTAGTGTGTCTCATAAATGGAGTATGAAAGGTAATTACAAAACTAGAATTCAAAAAATGTTCTAAGTAATGCCAGCATCACCAGAAAACCATGAGTAGCCTCCCAAAGTGGTCACTTTGAAAAAGACAGCCCTCAATAAATGATGTGTTTTGCAGTGTTTGTATGAAGAGGAAAAATGATCCCAGGATTCGTAGTCACGCCAAGATGAGGAGGGTTTACCAGGAAGCCCGGCCTGTGCATGCCCTGCTAAGCCCATCACATCAGAAGGGAGTCTCCCTTGTCAGTGGAGAGAGGGCATCGAGTGTGGAAGGCAGCACCTGCTAATTAGCTCAATGCAGCCACAGGTCAGCGGGTGAAACAGAGAAGAGAGGAGGTGGGGCTGGGCTGGGCTGAGCCACGGATGAATCACTCTGTCTAAAACTCTAGCTGTGATGAAAACTCCTATAAAAGATTCCCACCCCACTGACTTGGTACTCCACACACTGCTTAACACCACTTGCTTCATCCTGCCTGGGCATTAGGTAAGTCCTGTCTTGCAGAATCCCCCTTTCTTTTACTCAGTGTCTTGGGGACCTGAGTTCATAAAACCAAAGCTGTTGGTCAGTCAGTACTGGCTGTGGGCAGAGAGCGTCCCTCTTTGACTGGGCCTCAGGCAAGCCAGGAACAAGAGCATGGTGGGAAATGGTGCTCTCCAGAATTTGTTGGGCTCTTGCCTCCTCCCCTGCGGTAGGCCTGGCAGCAGCTCCTCTCACAGGGAGACTGTGTGGGTGGCAGCAAGAGAACCACCTCCTGCTTTCCTGAATCAGTGAAGGCCTCCTGTTCTTACGGTTCTACAAGTGCTTTTGTAGTGCTCAGTCTGTGGCATCAGACCCAAGTTACTTTTGCCAACCCAGAAGATGAAGTCAAACCACCTCGTGAAGGAAGGGGCTTACATGACTTCCCTCCTCACTCCCAGTGTGATATTAGGCAAGATGAATTTGTGGATTAATCCTAAGGGATTTGAAGTGTAGCTAGAAGGTCATCTTATTATTTTCTGTTTATAGACCAGTGTGGGAGTCCCTAGGTGGTTCAAACTGCTAGTATTTGGCTGCTAACTGAAAGGTTGGAGGTTCATGTCCACAAAAAGACACCATGGAAAAAAATTGGTGATCAACTTCTGAAAGATCAGCCATTGGAAAACAAAACCCTGTGGAGCACTGCTCTGTTGTGACACACATGGGGTCTCCATACGTGGGAACTGACTCCATGGCACCTGGTTTATAGACCAATGTTTAAGTTCTGCCACACTGAAAAGTCCCCCACCAGGATCTTTTCATGTCTCTGTTGAGGTGCTATATTATGAGTTTTGTACCTTGATGTACACAAGAGGTCAAAGTCTGCCAAAAACCTTTGGTTACTAGTGCCTAAGGCATTTGACTGCTAATCAGAAGGCTGGTGGTTCAAAGCCACCAGCCACTCAGCAGAAGGAAGACTGGGCAATCTACTTCTGTAGATATACCACCTCAGAAACCCAAGGAGGGGTTGGTATGAGTCAAAACTGACTCAACGGCAGTGAGTTTGGTTTGGTTTGATTTAGGTAGAAAGGAGATCCTTTGAGCAGTCAACCTTGGGTTTATGAATTTCTGAATTCTTCTGGCCAACTGACCTTTCTCTAGCTTCCAAATCTCCTTACTTCCTTTACTCTCTTGCTTCTCTCATTATGTCTTTCTCCTCCCATGGCATTCTCCTTTAAATCCCCAGGTTCCTCTCCTGTTTTCCAGATGCCATCTGCTCCTGCATTTGAACCTTTTCATCTTTGACACCAGTTTCTCTTCTGGTCTCTCCAAGGCTTCTGCCCAACACATATGCAGATCTCTTTGCCTATTACCCCCATGCAGATCTTACTTGAACTTGTCTCCAGATCCCCGGCTAGTGAGAAAGCCAATCTCTCCCTTCCATTGAGAGCCATTCCCCATAGGTCACTAGAATCCTGGGCTTGATAGACCCACAAACCTGTTGGGCAGGCTGACCTCCCTGACAGGGGCCAGGGCTGAGGACAGAGGTCATATTCAGGAAAACCTAGACTGTCAGAGTTGGAAAGTCATCCACCCATGGGAGGCACCCCCTCCTCAGCATTCCTAACAGGTGGTAGCCCTGCCACTTCCTGAACAACCCCAAAAAGGAAGTAAGAAAGGGCACAGCTGGACCTCTAGAACTCCTAGTTGGCTCTCACCTGAGTCAGGGATTGACTCACATATGTACTCACTGCCTCCTGGCATACCCAGCAGTGACCATAATAGCCTTGTGATAGGTAAAGAAAGCTCATGCATACGGGCTCAGGAGATATGAGTTTTAGGATTTCTTGGTCCCTTACAATCTATGTGGCCTTGGGCAAATCACCTAATTTATCTGAACCTGTTTCCTCACATATATATGTAAGGAACTCTAGTGGTGCAGTGCCTAAGGTATTTGACTGCTAACCAGAAGGCTGGCAGTTCGAACCCACCAGCTGCTCTGTGGAAGGAAGACTGGGCAATCTACCTCTGTAAAGATTTACTGCCTTGGAAACCCAATGGGGTTCTCTATGAGTCGGAATTGACTTGATGGCAGTGACTTTGTTTTGTTGTTGTTATTATTGCTGTTATAAGCCATCGAGTCAACCCCAACTCATAGTGACCCATCCTTGGGTTTCCGAGGTAGTATCACTATGGAAGTAGATTGCCCCATCTTCCTTCCAAGGAGTGGCTAGTGGGTTTGAACTGCCAGCCTTCTGGTTTGCAGTCAAGTGCCTTAGGCACTATGCTACCAGAGCTCCTATGTTGATATATATATATGATATATATATACACACACACATACATATAAATCTTTACTATATAAATCTTAGTAGATTGTTTAGATCTATAAATCTTAGTAGATTGTTCAGTCTTCCTTCCATGAAGTGGCTGGTAGGTTTGAACCACCAAACTTCTGATTAGCAGTCAAATGCCTTGGCACTGCACCACCAGAGAACCTTTTATACATATATACAGTAAAAATAATAAGGATTACAAAGATGATGCACACAGAAGTGTTTTGTAAGCAGGAAAGTGTGCATAGAGGCACACAAATTATATCTGTGTATATGTGTATAATAACATAATAACACTATTTAATAGCTAGCACTTAGTACAAAACAGGCCTCTGCCAAGTGCTTTATATGTATTATCTCTTTTAATTCTCACAGTAACCCTATAAAATAGGTACTACTATTACTTTCAGAATCCTTGGGTAGTAAAAATGGTTATGCACTCGGCTACTAACCAAAAGGTTGGCTTCAACACATAGGTGCCTGGAAAGAAAGACCTGGCTATGTGCTTCCAAAAGGTCCCAGCCACCGAAAACCCTATGGAGTACAGTTCTACTCTGAAACACATGGGGTTGCCATGAGTCAGAATCCACTCAACGGCAACTGGTTTATAGTACTTTGTTTATTCCATAATGAATAACTGAAGTATAGACAGGCAAAGCAACTGGCCCAAGCTCACAGGACAGCATTCAAATCCTGAGGGAGGCTGCCTCTAGTCACTGCATGTTCCCTCTTCCCATTCATAAAATGTATTATTAGGAAATGACAGAGGGAGACACAGACCAAAAGCAGAACTGAATATGCAAGGAAATGACTACAAAGCAGAAATGCTCCCCAGGAAACAGCTGAGGCTCATATGTAGCCCCCTGAGGGGGCTTTTCATCTTTTTCCAGCTTGACATCAAAGATGCCTCAATTACTGCGGAACATTAATGGGATCATTGAAGCCTTCGGTCGCTACGCCAAGACTGAGGGCAACTGCAAGGCGCTGACCCGAGGGGAGCTGAAAAGGCTCTTGGAGAATGAGTTTGCTGACGTCATCGTGGTAGGATGTGCTGATCCGGGTGGGAAAGGGCATAACAGCAGAGAGAAACTCTTTGCCTGCACATGTTCCATCTCAGGAATCTGAGGAGGCAGTAACTAAACCCAGGCCTGCCTGCAGGCAGAGGAAAGGAAAGCCAAGGAGCAAGTTAGTAGGGCTAGGCCCTTAGAGAAAATACCTTTATTTCAATTAATTTTTATTTGAGGGTAGGTAAAAGGGCTCTCAGGGGACAGCTCAGGTAGGAACAGAATATTCTGGAAACCAAAATAGTTGCCGTTTTCTGCTGCTTTGAAATTCTGACACAGTAAACAGTTCCCAAGCCTAGCTGAAATTTGATTATCCAATAATAAGCATTCATTAGAAGCACAGCTGTGTCTTGCCCATAGAAGTTGCTCAAAAATATTAGCTGACTGATCACATAAGCAATTAAGCAACCAAGAAGATGAAGGCCATAGGGACCAGGATGTATGGACAGCAGGGTACTACCTCTGCATACTCCAGGCAGCCTTGCACCACAGGACCTCAGCCCCATCTTGGGAAAGACAGTCCAAAGGAGCAAAGAAAACCCTAACACTCAGACAGCTGCATTATGATGAGCACAATTATTTATTCATTCTTTAGTAAATATTCATCCAGTTCTTCTATGGGTCAAAAATTGTGCCAGACACAGAGCATACAAAATAAAAGGATTTTGGCACAGTTAAGCACTCTACTACTAGTTGAAAGGTTGGCAGTTCAAATCTACCCAGAGGCCCTAGGAAGACAGGCCCAGCAATCTGCTTCTGAAAGACCACAGCCTTGAAAACCCTATAGAGCGGTTTTATTCTGCACACATGGAGTCAGAAGCAACTCTGTAAGAATCACCACCCTTGAAGGGAAGAGAGACAGTCCCAAAAACAAACACACTGCAATTATAGTGCTGCTATAGGGGCACAGGACCTAAGGCATTTGACTGCTAACCAGAAGACTGATGGTTCAAACCCACCAGCTACTCCTCAGAAGGAATATGGGGCAATCTATTTCTGTAGAGATACTGGCTTAGAAACCCAAGGAGGGGTTGCTATGAGTCAAACTGACTTGATGCCAGTGAGCTGTTTTTGTTTTTTTTTTTTTTTTTAATAGTGGTAAGGAGCTCTGGTGGCGTAGTGTCTAAGGCATCTGATTGCTAACCAGAAGGTTGGCAGTTCAAAACCACCAGCCAATCCGTAGAAGGAAGATGGGGCAATCTACTTCTGTAAAGATTTCCCACCTCAGAAACCCAAAGGAGGTTGCTATGAGTTAGAATCAACTCAATGGCAGTGAGTTCAGTTTTTTGGTTTGTTTTTTTTTTTAATTTTTGCTTGGTTTTTGGTATAGTGTTATATGTGCAGAGTGTGGGAGGGCTGGAGGGGTCTGGCTTCCTCTCTTAGGGGCTGGGAGGCCTGGAGCTGAGCGAAGTTGGCCTTCCTTCAAGAGAGGGAGGGGTGCTGACTCAGCCTCATCCTCTCCTCAGAAACCTCACGATCCAGTCACAGTGGATGAAGTCTTTCGCCTGTTGGATGAAGATGACACAGGGACTGTGGAATTCAAGGAATTCCTGGTATTGGTGTTTAAGGTTGCCCAGGCCTGTTTCAAGACCCTGAGCGAGAGTCCTGAGGGAGCTTGTGGATCTCAAGAGCCTGGAAGCCATCATCCTGGGGCCTCGCAAGAGCTGAGGGAAGGACAAGAAAGTCACACTGAAGTAGGAGGTGCTGGGAGAGGTCAGCTCTGTGAGGGGAGCAGCTGTGGACAGAGAAATCAGGCTTCCACAAGGCAAGATGTCAGCTCCCCTCAGGTTGGTCACCATGACATGCAGACTGAGTCCCAGAGACAAGGTAGCATGAGCCAGCAGGCACAAGTGTCAGGGCACATGGAGCAGACCCAGACAGCAGAAGACAAGCATCATCAGACCAGAGAGGAACAGTCAGAGAGAATGTCCCAGACCAGGGAACAGGAAAGAGCCCACCGGACCAGTGAGACTATGACTGGAACCCTAACTCAGACCCAGACAGGTACCACCCAAACCCCAGAACAGGACAAGAGCCTTCAGATGGGGAGCACTGGCACTCAGTCACGAGAGTCCTCCTGTACCCAGACTAGAGGGACTGAGACCCATGGTCAGGACAGGAGCCAGACCAGGCAGGTAGTAACAGGAGGACACATTGAGACCCAGGCAGGGTCACAAACTCAGACTGTGGAGCAAGATGGGAGCTTTCAGACAGGGAACACAAGCACTCAGTCACAGGGGTCCATCTTTAGCCAGACCAGAGAGACCCACGGTCAGGACATGAGCCAGGCCAGCCAAATAGTGGCAGGAGGACACACTCAAATCCAGGCAGGATTACAAACCCAGACATACACCCAGACCCCATGTCAGGATGAAAGCCATCAGACAGGGAGCACTGGCACCCATTCACAGGAGACCACCTGTGCCCAGACCCAAGGGACCAAGACTGATGGTCAAGACAATAGTCAAATGAGCCAGGTTGTAACAGGAAGACACATTCAGACCCAGGTAGAGTCACAGACCCAGGTACACCCCCAGATCATGGAGCAGGACAGGAGTCAGACGGGAAGCCATGTAGGGGTTAGAGAACAGGGACAGAGCCTGACACAGTCAGACAGTGGTCAAAGGCAGACACAAGTAAGCCACTACGAGACAGGGGAGACCATGCTGGGAGGACAGGCCCAACCTGGGGCAAGCACTCTGACAGGCAGTCAGGACCGGAGCAGCACACATCCTACGTGCAGTGTGACAGGAGGGCAGAGAGATGGGAAGCCACACCCCACAGAGTCCACTGTGGTTGGTGAGGAGTGGGTTGATGACCATACAAGGGAGATAGTGGTCCCAAAGCCGGACCAGAGCAGCTTGCACACCAACGTTTCTTCAGCTCAGGGTGGAGAGGTAGCCCAGCCTGAGGGGAGACAAAGCATCACAGCTAGGGAGCTGTATTCCTACTTCAAAAGCAACAAGCCATGAATCCCTGTCCCTGGAGCCTAATGCCCAGTCCCAAAAGCAGACAGCTGGAGAAGGGCTGCTTGTCCTGCACTGTCCACTCCAGCTGGCACATCCTTCAACATCAGCACTTAATCACGGTGATTCCTTCTTAGGTCTTTCTCAGTGAGACCATTTCCATAAGGTGCTTTTGATCTTAACTCCTCTCTCTTACCTGTTTTCCAGTGAAGAACTTCTTAGGAGCTAGAAGGCATGGAACAAATGATCCTTTTGTTCTGAACTCTCCTCAGTTTTGGAAGTTTTCCAAGCTACCTTTATCTCAGTCATCTGTCTACTGTCCCATCTATCCTAATGCATCAATAAAACTTCCTAAGCAACTAGCCTAGGGGCTCCATTCACTCACTGTCTATGGGCTAAGGGCCATAGTATTATGATGATGAACTAGACATGATACTTACTCTTGAAGAATGCCTCTCTGAGAAAATATTGCAAGAGATTTCAAGAGTTATAAAGTGTCAAAGAAAGGAGATAACATACTTAATATTGGTAGATACAGGTCAGGAAAGGTTTCATCCAGAAAGTGCTTTTTTGTAATGGCCTTTAAAGAGCAACTAGGATTGACATAAGTAAAATTATTCTCTGTTGTTATTTTTATTGTCCTTCTTGGGAAATCACACACACACACACGCAGATACATAACTCTTGGGTAAAAGAAGATAAATAGAAAATGAAATTGCAGAACTTTGAGAGAATGATGATAATTAAACTAGATATACAAGGTTCTGTAGAACACAGCTATCTGAATGCTCTGAGGAAAATTCATAGCATTCATTAACTGCACATGTTAAAAAATAAAAATTAATTAATTAAATCTGCAATGTGAAAAACTGGAAAAACCCCAACCAAGACTATAAAGAAAAGTATAAGAAAATAATGAAGGTATAAATAGAAATTAATGACTTAGAAAATAGAAAAGTGAAAAACAAGTAAATAAATAACCTGGTCATTTGAATCAACAAAGTAGACAAACCATTAACCAAACTAATTTTTAAAGAGGTGAAAAAGGTATGGGCGAGAAAGCATAAATACACAAAATAAAAGACAGCAATGGACTAAATATACAGATCACAGAGAAAATACAAACAATGTGCAAAAGGTATAAACAGATAGGTCACAGAAAAAATACAAATGATCCTTAAATACACGAGAAGATGCTAAAGCTTATTTGTCATAGAATAAATGCAAGTTAAAACAATATTGAGATATCACTTCTCACCATCAGGATGGCAAGCATCAAAAAGTTTGAGGACAGACTTTGTTGGCAAGGCTGTGGAGAAGCAGGCACGTCCATACTCTTCTGGTGGGAATGTGAAACGATTCCCCTCGATGGAGGAGAATTTGGCAGAATTCATCATTATTACACTTGTCTGACTGTTCTTTCCCCAGTCCCTGAAGTAGTGCCTGGCAAATAATGATTTGTTGAAAGAACTGAATGACTCGATATCTCCATTCACACACATGAGTTTATGTAATCCCTGCACAGACCTGTGACAATAGAAAGGCAAGCTTATAATCAATCCCATACCAAATAAAAAAATGGAGCTTCTTCAGTGTTGTTTTTTGTTCAAAAAAAAAGTTGTGCAATTAGAAAAGGGGCAGAACTAGGCCTAAACCCAGGTCTTCTGAATATAAACTCTCACACCACAGAGAGAAGTAAGGGCAGTAGGGAATAGTATGTGTGAGGTCTACACAAAGAGGTTGGGAAGAAGTTGTAGAGAGTGACTCTCCAATCCTCACCTCCTCCCCCAGGAGATTTTGGCCATGAAAGCAGGGAGCCCATCTACACCTTTGAGAAGACACCATTCTCAGGATTCATATCCCCAGGGAACCACCATGAAGAAGAAGGGAAAATACAGACATAGGTGGTTCTGGAAGAGAAGTCAATCAACAGTGAGAGGAAAGAGCAGGCAACCCATGCCCTCTAACCTTCTAAGTCTTGCTGGATGAACTGGGGGTCTTGAGTGAGATCCCCCAAGAATTTAGGTATGAAGGAATAAAGATTCCTTTTAATTGCTAAATATTGGAATGGTTGGATCAGATATACTAAAAGTCACTTTAAAAAGAAAGAATGAAAAGAATGATTCCCAAGCCAACAGAATCTGTCTTCAATTTCAAATTAATGATTAATCCACCATTCAGAAGAAAAAGAGGTTATTCAGTCAAGTGCAGAAAAGAGGAGTCATGGAGGCCAACAATGTTGGGCCCATATAAGCACTGTGTCTAGGGAAGGGAGAGTCAAGTACCATTGGCAAGGCCCATGGAGGTGATAAGCACACCATCAGTTGAATGCCCAGATGCCATTAACCTCCAAATCAGGAAATGGACTTCCCTTTTCTGATTCTGGGCTTACCGTCTTCTGATTATGATATGGCTGTTCATGTGGGAGAAAAGGCATTGTCCAGGAGATATGAGTGACCAGTTCTTCAAACAGTTATGTTCTCTGTTGTAAACTGATGGCCTGGCATCATGAATGTCAGTCCTAGTCTCTGAGCTTGGCAGATGTGAGTGAGCCTGGAGGGGCTGAGAGTCAGATCCTAAGCTCCTGAAATCACAAGGTTCACTCATCTAGGTCACCAGATCACCTCAGATCACACCCTCCTTCTTCTCTCAGAAGATTATTTACTGGTCTTCAATCAACTTGTAAAATATCCACATACATACTTGTTTTTTTTAAATATGTGTATGCTATTTTAGATCCAGGAGGGAAAATTTGCCAAAATGTAAAGGGGCTTGGTGGGAATGGAATGTGTTCCTTCACAGCCCCTGAGGTAGACGCTTCCTCTTGAGAACCCCAGCCCACATGATATCAAATATATTAAATGCACTTAAAAACCAGTGAAAAAAATATTTGCCTAAAATAGTTTGAAAAGGTTTTAATAATTTTCTTTTTGAACTTATTTAGATATAAAAAGACTCACTGCCATGGAGTGGATTCTGACTCATAGCGACCCCCATTGGGTTTCTGAGGCTGTAAATCTTTACGGAAGTAGATTGTCCCATCTTCATTCCACAGAGCAACTGGTGGGTTTGAACTGCTGACCTTCTGGTTAGGAGCCAGATGCCTAATCCACCTTGCCACCTGAGCTCCTTTATTTAGATATACATAATGCATT